CAAAACCTTCATTTTAAGCACTATATAATCATCAAGCACCATGTGATGTCTCATACACTCATACCTTGTGTAATGCATACCTTGTCTCAACATACCCGACTTCTCAAACATTTACCATGTTCAAGATATTGAAAAACCTTTTCTTCTACTTTTAAAAATATATAGCAGATTACTGTTATCTCTTTAGTCCAGTACCACAGCATGCCAGAACTTTATTTTTCTTTCCTTTCCTTTTCTTCTGGCAAGGCTTTGCTATGAAGTGCAGGCTGGCCTGGAACTCTCGGAAATCCTCCTGCCTCAGCCTCTTAATCCTGGGGATTCCGGTAGGGGGTCATCCTCAGCCCCCCAACAGAACTTCCTGTCTGACTATCAGGATTCATTGATCAACCTCTCCTCAGCCCTGGTACTCAGCATCGTACTACCGCATTGCATGTCTGTGTGACCTGTATGGTCCTGAGGTGTTTGTCCTTCTGTGAGTACCTTATTTTACTGAATATCCTCTAGATTTGAACACTTTGTCTCCAGTGACAGGATTTCATCCTTCTTATGGCAGGAGAATGTCCCAGTGTGTATACAATCCGCATCCTTGTTACTTATCCTCTAGGCATCAGTTCTGTGTCCCTAGCTTTGTTGTTTACCTTTTCAAGTGTCCAGGTCTATTTTGCCTGCCTTGAACGTAGCTCTACACAGGAAGTAATAATGGTATCACCTTTCCCTCCGGCCGTTATCAGTGATCTAGGCCAGTCACTTCTGCTGCAATAAAGCCTTCAGAGGCTCTTGAAGACATCTTTCTTTGGTTTTCGTTTGGTTTGCTTTGTTTATTTTGAGACAGCAATTCTGAGTGTAGTCTAGGCTGGCCTTGAACTTGCCTTGACCCTCCTGCCTCTGCCTTGGCCTCCCCAGTGCTGGGATCACGGGTGTGCACACCACACCGCTAAGAGTGGGATTCTGACTACACACGCTCCGGGCTCATCCTCACACCAGAGGCTCCAGTGAGTGGAGCTGCTCCTGTGGAGACGTCTTTCTTCTCCAGGAACCCAGATCCCAGGCTGGCTCCAGGACGTGTCCATGTTGACATCCTGCCTTGGCCAGTGTCAACTGATACCAACTCTGCTGGTCTTGCCCTCAGGGGCTCCCGCAGCCTTGGCTCTCTGAAACCCACAGAAAGGAAAGCTGGGAGATGGGGCTTCCCTATCCAGCACCCCAACACTTCCCACAACTCAAAGTGTCACTTACTTCTTCATCACACTGTATGCTCCTTGCTAACCTCGGTGTGTTTTGTGAAATTTCTAACATATGTGATTTTATTTCTTTTTTTTTTTTTTTTTTTT